GGTGGGATATAGTCGTCATACTGGTCGTGATCGTGATCGTGGTCGTGATCGTGGTCGTGGTCGTGGTCGTGATCGTGATCGTGATCGTCCCGCTTTTGTCATCGCCGTTTAAGGAAAACTGCTCATCAGATTTTCTCCAAATTCGCAGAGATGATAGAGCATATGAAGTACTAGAGCTGATTAACTTTTGGGTGGCCATCTTGTTTTCTGGCGGCCATTTTGAAGGTTTTTCGAAAAATCTTGTCATCGCCATTTCAGGAAAACCGCTCATTGGATTTCCTTCAAATTTACACAAATGATAGAGGATATCAAGTACTAGAGCTGATTAACTTTTGGGCGGCCATCTTGTTTTCTGGCAGCCATTTTTAAGATTTTTCGAAAAATCTTGTCATCGCCATTTCAGAAAATCCGCTCATCGGATTTCCTTCAAATTTACACACATGATAGAGGATATCAAGTACTAGAGCTGATTAACTTTTGGGCGGCCATCTTGTTTTCTGGTGGCCATTTTGAAGGTTTTTCGAAAAATCTTGTCATCGCCATTTCAGGAAAACCGCTCATCGGATTTCCTTCAAATTTACACAAATGATAGAGGATATCCAAGGGCGTTACAATACCCGGGAATTTATCGGTTCGTCCAGTACTTGTTTGTGATAGCGCCCTCTGTAGGTCACTGTGCTTATAGCCTACAGTAATACGGGGTAGGATATCGGGAATTCGGTCAGTTTCTATCCGTCGATTTCGCTATGAATTGAAGCAAGTGTGACCACTTTATCCACTTAAACAATTTGATAATTGATTAAATCTTTAAACAAAATCGATAAACACGTTATACACTTCCTATCTCCTTAGAAATTAGCATGTATTTATGGATTGTGTTTTCGAACAAGGCTCGACCCACCCCAATAGGGAAATCCTTATGCTAATTAGTATGACGTCATATTTTCCTGGGGAATCCTAGATTTCAAGGCCTCAGTCTGTTATTGTGTCAAATGTAAACGCTCTTGGGACGCTCTTTTGCAGACAGAAAATTGACAGATTAGCTTTCAACTTTCAGCTTTGATGTTTAAATATTCTGTATTTCTACCGGACTTCTTGCTGAATATCATATAATGTTATAACTTGATTTGGATCATTGCCTGATTGATCATTCTGAAATTTTGATTGTGATTCATGATTGATTGGCAAGAAAAATAATTCCTATTGTTTTCCAGCGAAGTCAAAATGTTACAGCATGAGTTATAATGTCGAGTTTGCATCATGTTAAATTCTGCTAGTGATTAGAAGTCCATGCACAAGCATACACATAAGAGACAAACACACCCAGGCTCCAGGCCGTGGATGGAAATATAAAACTATTTAAGGCACAAACTGGTATTAATAGACCGATATGTAGTGTCTGCCATGTATTGAAGGTAAACCAATCTGTATTATTAATGTTTCTTCTATCAATACATGGGTTGTGCAATAGAAAAGCAATGGCACAATCAAAAATGTGCATATCAATCGTGAATATCTCTCGGTTCAAAGCTTATTTCCAACAGAATCGTGTCAAAATATGTGTCTGAGTAACAGTTATACATTATAAGATCGCAAACTCTTACCAATTATCAGCCGAATGGCTCATTTTCAACGAAATGTCCTTAAGACAACAGCCCTGGGTCGCGCCTGAGACCAAAAACTACTTCAAATAGCCCTCCCCTAAATTATATTGGATAATCACATTTATGCGTGCGCGCGCAGCTCATCCAATGAACGAAACGCCACTTCCCGCTGAAATCACCGGGTATTGATCTTTCCCTTGGGATATCAAGTACTAGAGCTGATTAACTTTTGGGCGGCCATCTTGTTTTCTGGCAGCCATTTTGAAGATTTTTCGAAAAATCTTATCATCGCCATTTCAGAAAATCCGCTCATCGGATTTCCTTCAAATTTACACACATGATAGAGGATATCAAGTACTAGAGCTGATTAACTTTTGGGCGGCCATCTTGTTTTCTGGTGGCCATTTTGAAGGTTTTTCGAAAAATCTTGTCATCGCCATTTCTGGAAAACCGCTCATCGGATTTCCTTCAAATTTACACAAATGATAGAGGATATCAAGTACTAGAGCTGATTAACTTTTGGGCGGCCATCTTGTTTTCTGGTGGCCATTTTGAAGGTTTTTCGAAAAATCTTGTCATCGCCATTTCTGGAAAACCGCTCATCGGATTTCCTTCAAATTTACACAAATGATAGAGGATATCAAGTACTAGAGCTGATTAACTTTTGGGCGGCCATCTTGTTTTCTTGTTCTTGAAATTTGTAAACATAATAGGAGAACAGTTCTCCTGGTTCATAGTGTCTGCCTATTTGATGGTGTGATCTCGTTCACGTGCTGTGCCTTGTTTTAAAATTTTGACATAGGCTGAATTCAATTGCAAATTAATTGAGCATACTTTTCCAAAAAGGACTGACTCTAAAAAGTGTCTTAGGTAGAATTATTATATAAAATACCTGAACTAGTATTTACATTTATTCCAATGATGGAATTAGTCTTACCTTGTATTCGCGAATGCAACATTCGGCTGCCGGCTATCGGATTAACCTATTGAATTTTCATAAATTAACCCGTCAAAATTAAAAGCGAATGTGCGAATCAGCTACCGGGTTCCAAGCAGATACTATTCATATGAAATGAGTTTGCCATCAAACTGCAATCAACCCGGTTGCCGCAAGTCGCAAGGAATAGTGGCAGGTACATGTACTATTCATAGTTAATGAGTTGAATATGAAAGTACCTGCCGTGTAACTGCTTCGCTAATTCGCTAATTGACGGGTTAATTTATAAAAAAGAATAGATTAATCCGGAAGCAGACAGCCGAAAGTTGCATTCGCGAATACAAGCTAGTATTCGCGAATGCAACTTTCGGCTACCGGATTAACCTACTATTTTATGGGAAACTCATTTAAATATAATTAGTACCTGCCACTATATATTCCATTCATATTTAAATGATTTTGCCATAAAAAGTAGGTTAATCGCATACAGTAGCCGACAGCTGCAGTTATTTGCATTTGCGAATATAAGCTAAGCTCATTTAAATATGAACAGTACCTGTCGTATAAGCTAAGCTCATTTAAATATGAACAGTACCTGTCGTATAAGCTAAGCTCATTTAAATATGAACAGTACCTGTCGTGCATACCGTTAATTGCAACTAACACCTGTCGGCTACCGGATTAACCTACTATTTAATGTCAAACTGATTTAGATCTTAATGGAATAGTGGCAGGTACTATTTATATTTAAATGAGTTACCCATAAAATAGTAGATTAATCCGGTAGCCGACAGGCGTTAGTTGCATTTGCGAATACAAGCTTAGTCAAACAGAGGGAGAGGCGGGGGTTTCGGACATCACAGGTGGTAATCTAGGTAAGCTAATTAAACGTACTAATGGTGTACTCACTTGAATAAGTTGATAGCATAGAAGTGAGAGATATTAATTGACACGAGTGTCTTGAGTAATTGCCCCAGCATACACGCTATCTATATTTTATATATTGTATATTCGTAAAATGTGGGCCTATATATTTTGTTAGTACCTCAACTGAAATACTCGATTCTGATTGGTTGATTAGCGATCAACAATATGTATTGTTAGTACCTCAACTTAAATACTCGATTCTGATTGGCTGATTAGCGGTCAACAATTGTTTACTGTTTAATGATATAGTATTATCAGATCTACCGAGTAGCCTAAACAAAAATTGTTTCATATTTTTGGCTCCGCTCATACCATTCCTTGTCGTGTCTATTTTCTAAAAACTCCAAGAATCCATACTTTATTTGAGGTAATCTAAAGATTTTTACAATTATGTATTCATCTTTTAGTCTCTTCATGTGGACGGTGTTCGATGGTTGGTGTTTGGCGTTCGGTGATCAGCGTATGTAACAAATGGCTGGTGGTGACATTTTGCATGTTAATGCTTTGTCTACAATTGATAAAATTATAATGGCATATTCACTCCGGAATAGCCTGACTACGGTAAAAGTCAGATACCGTTGTCACAAATGGCGGACATAACCGTCGCTTCAACTGTTTAATCACTTGCTCCTCATTTCATGGGATTTTATTGTTACTAATTCTGTGCATGCAGTAAGCTCTTGTGATAATGTATCATATGAAATCCCATTTTCGATGAAATTGGGTCGTGAGTCGCCACAATATAGCGTCTTCGGTATCGTCAATGACAACGGAATCTGAATTAGAGTAATTTAGTAAGACAACGGCATGTGGTAATTACAGTGTCCGTTGTCCCGTACTGTATCTCATTTTGATCGGTTAAATTAAAGACTTTCTTTCGATGGTAGATTATTAACTGTACATTGAGTATTAAGGCACTTTGATTGATTGTTGTTCCAAAGGAATTTAGTCTAGGTGCTCTATTAAACATACAGTTCGTGAAAATCTAATTGAAGCGACGGTTATGTCCGCCATTTGTGACAACGGTATCTGAATTTACCGTTGTCAGGCTATTCCGGGGTGATATTGTTGATCATGGGAGATTATGTTTGAAATCGTGAGAGCTACTGTACGTAGTATCTATATAATGATTGGATATGTTTGAAACATATTTCCAGGATTTTTGATAATTGCAACTGCGACCTTTTTGCACAATTTCTCAAAATTATAGTTATCGTCAAAAATAGATATCTGATGTGTGACATAAACAAGGAGGTTATGAAACACAAAAAAATGTGTATTGATCTTTAATCTTTACATCTGTGTTCTCTTGATAGAAGAAAAATAGGTATTTACAGATCTTTGATCTTGCGCCAATAGGTCTATTGATATAAAATGGAAAGTAAAGTAAATAAAGTGGGGGTAAGTGATAAAGATGGCTCCTCGATCGATTAACAAACACTTTTAATATATAATCATGACATATTTTCTTCTTATGACCATTATTCTAATTTCGATAGAATCATTCCTTAAATTTGATTTCTGCAATTTTCAAAAACAATGATAATGATGGAGTCTTCCATGACTCATTCTTTGAATGCTATTTATTCGATAGCTGGGGCAACTGTATATTATGCAAATAATCTATGAAGATCTTTCAAGTGCGATGTCATCTTAACCATGGATCGAACTTTATCGATATCCCTATCACAAAAAATCGGAGTGTTAACGAAAGCATATATACGAATTATACTCTTATATAATTGCTTTATATGTCTCTGCACTATATAACACATTTATCTACTAGCCTATGCGTGTCCTCTATCATGATGTGCATCCTTAATTCATTTATATACAAAATGATATACGGGTTTGTGTCAGTGGCTTGTGCTCATCGTGCTCGTTTGACCTGTTATTTCTTATCATCGAGGATTGTAGTCGATGTAGTTTTAGAAGTGGAGGCTGAAGTCTCCGACAATCCTTCTTTTACTCCTGGAGCACAGCACGCTGGATTTCTCAGACATTTCCGGAATTTATCACTAAGGAGAGAATAGAATATAGGATTGACGACACCATTCCCATACTCTAAGATACGCGCAACAAACACAAACACGATGAACCAATTCTCTTTGCCAAAAACCTTGATATCATCAGTGACGTACATAAGAGTAACGATGTAGATAGGGAGCCACATAACTCCAAATAGAATGATGATAGCGAACACAACTCTAGTTGCCCTTTCCCTCTTTTTTATAATGTCATCAGAGCCAGCAGCCATTTTGATGCTCTTTCGTATTTCAGTATGGATCTTCGCGTAGCAAAACCCGATGATCAAAAGAGGGATGCAGTAGAAGCCAACTCCACCTATTGCATTGAAAACGATAAGCTCTATGGACCCAACTGTGGAGCTACACTTGCCTTTTCCCGTGTCGTCTTCTGAGTAGACAATAGAATAGTTCTTCACCAAAATAGGCCGGATCAGGGCACGCGTAAAAGACACAAGGTAGATAAACGCACAGGCCAAACAAACTTTGCCTTTAGTCCAGAACGATTTTGCCTTCAACGGGTAGACTACAGCCAGATACCTGGAGAAAAGGTCATGACAGTCACATGGACGTAGCCAGAGGAGGTGCGATTGGTGCAATCTTTCATATAAAGTATTCATTATGATAGCACTGTGTACAACCGGAACCCACTGCACCGAAACCGCTGCTACATTCACACCAGAGCGTCTCACCACTGAATCCAAACAGGAAAACGCTCCAGAGTAAGAAAAATGGCGAGAAACCCGGGTCTGGTATTTCGATGATAATTGGAATATAGAAGGAATGTGTAATTTGATATACATTCGATTCGTTAAATACAATATAATAACGCATAATTTAACTAAAAACACACCATCACCATCTAACGTATACAACCAATTTAAGGGGCCTATACAGAAATGCTCCACATAAAAAGTGGCACAAGAAACAAAGAGGGACCTATTTCACACTGAGGAGAGAAATGTACGATATCTTACTCTTCTCTACTCATCTCGAAATAATATCATAATAAAGTGGCAAAAAGCGTTTCTAAAATTTTTCATTTGAAAAATTATATTAATCATTCTAAGAAAACTCATCCGACACTGTATTTTGTTTTTATACAGTGCGTATAAAAAACGCAACAGATTGTTATCTCGGAAAAGCACAAAACCGGTGATAACAGCATTGATTTCACCCAATGCACCATAAAGCCACGTGTCTCCTCTTTACAATGATCTTTAATGACTTACTTTTCCTCCTCTTTACCAGCATATTTTAATTCAGTAAAAAAATGTTCTACAATAATAACTTTGATTAATACAGTTATGTCATTATATTAAATCATTTCCCATGACTTTTTCAACTTTTCTAAAACAACTCTGGCCAAATCCCCATTGATGCAATATCAAAATTCTTTGGAATCGTGGTTTAAACGTTTGACAACCAACATTTTAACCTCTTGAATACCAGCCTCTAAAAATGGTTTGAAACCAGAGGATCTTTCATTTTTGCCAATTTTTGGATATTTACATTTAAAAACAAAATGTTTGATTTTTGATTTCATAAGAATAGTAAACATAGACCCATTTTATAACATGATTTGTGAAGATTGGATAAAAATTGCCAAAATTAGAGCAGTTTTAGTGAAAAATGTGCCAGATATATCTGTCGCTCTGGGTTCCAAATGGATTTTGTTTGTGACAGATATATTTGTCATTGTTGGTATTCAAGAGCCTAATCACAATATATACATTGACATGGTCAATCCATAGTATACCATTTCAGACGGATTCAACCAATATACTATTTTCTCAATCATTAAATTAAGTGGCTATTGCAAGTTTTCAACATGGTTGTCTATGGCAGTCTGGCCCAACCAATACAAAAATAAACAAGGGTGACATCTATTAAGATCAGCTTTATTCAGCCATATAGAAACTCTCTAAAAAGTATCTTGGGTATAAATATATATAGAATGGGAGAGGGTGTATTTATTTTATTTTTTAGACACTTGTTCTAAATCAACTTAGCTTTCCCAGCAACTACAATATTATTGAGAACTAAGTACATTGTTTTTGTTATTTTGTTCTTACGAGGTTTAGACAGATGTTTCATTTCACTCCAAAGAATTGGTAGAAAAGAACAAAAGACAATGTCGTTTGGGTTTACTAAATCAATCATATAACACATAAGTTTTGTTGAAATTAAATTGTTGCCATTCAATAACCATAACCCAATTCATCATTCGTTCACTGATCAATCAGTTCACCACCAGACGTTGAGTGAATGAGCTTAAAGTGTTGGTCTTCGAATGGTACATACTGTACTATGTCACCTTAACGTATGAGATGAAGAGAAACAAGTGAAAGAATACTTACGGTCATCGTTAGGTCTTCGTTTGTCGCCAGTTTTCAGCTCCGAAGCGGTTAAAGGTGAATGAAACGCTCTGAAGTAAATGTAGCAGCGTTTTGGTTGTTTACCGCTAATAACAATGGAATCATTCTGTTGATTTTATCTCCAGTGATCCGATATAGGGCATATTTTATAAATTAATAAAAAATATTATTTGCCTCACCTCTCAAAGCTCATCACCAACAGGGTTAGAATTGAGACGCTTGGACCTATACATCCTCCAAATGCCACAAAATAACACATGAATTCACCGAATGGCCAGCTCTAAAATGTAGTATAACAATGTTTTCAGATTAGAATAAAATTCAAACATTCTGAGTCTCTGCTATAACTTAACATTATGTGAATACTAACTCAGCATTTTATTGACGGTAGGTAACATGGACGTATTCAGGGGGTGACCCCTCCCCCACCCCCACAAAAAAAAGAAAAAAGTTGTTGAAAAACATTTACAAATCATAGTTTGAAATTCTTGAAATGCAGGTCATATACAAAATGATTTTTTTAATTTCCGGGCGTGAACCCATATACCCCTTTTTGGGGCTCGCTTTGCTAGCAGTGATGTAAGTCAAAAAATCGCACCCCTTGACAATTGCTGGTTACACCCCTGGTAGATATAGGTAGATTCTTTTTATATTACATTGTTGTGGGTTAGTTTCACCAAAAGACCACGTGCAGTATGGCAAGTGATTTTAGACAGTCATATCTTTCACCACGAGTGCTTTCTGGCCATAAATACAGTTACACGTCGCACGAAACTGGGGACAATTAGCGTAACATTATGGCGTCAAAAAACCAAGACAAAACAATGAGCAGCATAGGGCGCAAACAGCCTTACAACGTCAACCTAAAAATAAAATACTTTATCCTTATCTAATCATGACAAAATTCACAGGGTAGCAAGATCTCGAGGACAATATTTCTAAAATGTTTTTGAATTTTGGAAAACGGTCAAGAAATCCACTTGGGGCGTTGGTAAAAATTGATATATATGGAATTTGTGGTAGAAAATCGATGCGTCACATTTTTTCAAGTCACGAAAACCAGCTCTTATTTTGATATTATTTGCAAAATAAACAAACTGGTTGGTTATTGTTTTGTAAATTTCGCCATGACAATATTGTGCAGTTAATTTTTCTTTCAAATCAGACTTGAATTAGAAGGTTAAATGAAGGTAAACTTATTGCTCGTCCCATTCGCCTTCAAAACCTTACACAATTTTGAAAATTTTAAAAGCGTTCATATATGATAATTTGAACTGTAGCCATAAGCAATTGTGATTTCATAAATGAACATGTTCCATTGAATAAATTGTGAAATTTTAGTGGGATTTTGATCATTATTTCAAAAGTTATCCCAGTTTCTACGAGCCCTGTAAGTGTAAAGTGTTACGTCTTACAGCGTATTTGACGATTTTGGGATATGTTTAACTTAAAAAATATGTTGGATCCCATCAAAATTTTGAAGAAAAAATAATTTCACTGAAATGCGAATAAAAAATACTTCAAAATGATATAAAACACATAGCTAGCTTTTTAAATAAGGCAGAGATTAACGCTCAAAGCTGAAATCAGCCCGTATTTCCCGAATTGTCCCCAGGTCCGTGCACGTCATAAGACTTGGCTTTTATTAAAACAATATGTTTTCTTTCAAGTGAAGTCCCCATGATAATAAAATATCAATCTAACTCTCTGAAAAATTATGGAATAGGGCCCACCGTGGCACCTTTTGAAAAATGTTAGGCTTATTTTCTAAAAAGAAATATTAACACATATCCCATGTTATTTTCCCATAGGGAAAACTCGTGCTATCCATTGCTTTCAGCATAATTTTGGTCATCGAAAATTAATATCTTCAAAACTAGACTTTCAATACCATTCTATTTTTGAACATGTCTTAGACCCCTTGCTGAATAATGTTTTCATGCAATAAAAATCAGAAAAAGAAGATCCTCTTTTGAGTAAATAGGTTGAATATTTTGAAAAAATGTTGAGATGGGGTCCCTATTCATAATTTTTCGAAACATTTTGTTTTAATAAAAAACACTGTATTTATGCCCAGAAAGTACTCATGGTGAAAGATATGACCGTCTAAAATCACTTGCCATACTGCACGTGGTCATTTCACTCTTAAAAAATATTACTTGGATTTCCTTATATTGAGAACTTGTACTACTCATTTTAAGTAAAAAATTACTTAAATAATCTTGAACTACTGAATAATTTTTAAGTAATTCAAAGTAATTATAAGTAATTTAAAACAATGATATATATTATATTAATTTAAAAAAATTCAAATGACTTCACAGGCACTCTGAATTTATGGTGAATTTACTAATGCAAGGAGAGAAATTGAAATACTTACTGTAGTAATTGTAATACTCATTTACATAATTAAGCAATTAAAAAACTCAAAATGACAATATAAGTAAAACCTAAGTAAAATGAAGTAAAACTAAGTATTTAACTTTAAGTAATTTTTATACTTGGGAAATACTCAAGTAATTCATTTTTAAGAGTGTTGTCAACGTGTACATAAACATCTCTTCAACTGCAACTTGATCAGTGATCAGTTAAACGGTTGATCCTCGCATTTCTTCTTCAGTATCTTTATGTGAGTAAATGATACGATTTTTATAGATTTCAGATCATGTATTACCATGATTTGTGTTCATAGCTAGATTGCTCCGTTGCAAGAAAGGAGATGAATATTCTTTGTTTAGAATTCTATACACTTCATCAAGAAAGCTGCGAAAACTGTCTAGATTTCAGTATTTATGTCATACGTTTCATTTTCTAATTGCATATTACTTTAGTATTATGTTACCTTTACCTTAAACAAATAAGCAGACGTGACAGAGAAGGGCATGCAAAATAGAAGAGTGATCAGGTCACCAATGGCCAGCTGTGTTATCAGGAACTGGCTCATAGTATGTAAGGGCTTGTTGGCTGCTACTACAACAATTACGACCAGGTTACCTAAAACAGTAGTTTATGTTAAAAATTGAAAGATAATAGCTTTTTTATTTAACTATAAGAAGTGGTGACATTTTTGTCTCCAAATTTTTTGTGGATTGTGGTTGGTATGTCAGGTAGTGACATTATTTTATATGTTAATGTCTTGTATATGATAAATAGGATTTTGTTAATTCAATGTTTTTTCAACAGTCAATCACATTTAAAAAACATCCAAAACTTTAAATTCTTATTGATTCAGCTCCATCGATTTTCGTTATTCCAATGGGAATATCAACGTCTGTTATGTTCCAATTGACACTATGGCTACTAGATATAGTTTAGCGTGTGACGTAAACTCGGCTCAAGGGAGGTTTCACTACAAGACATCTAATGAACCTTCAGAGCTGGAACATTAGACGTATCATTGAATTATTGAATATGGTTCGTTAGAAAACATCGTGGTCTGATACGTGAAAATAACGGCACTGATAAGGTCCGTCGCCTGACTGGAAGTTCTTTCAAAATCATGCAGTTTTCACCATTCCGAACACCTTTCGCATGATATTTTAGCCAATACTATAAAAAAGCTCCCCCTCTTGGTAAATTAAGTTGGCTACGGGTAAGATACTTATGCCCCAATCTTTTGCCTATCATATTTAGATTTTCATGGGGGAAAGCCTTTAATTTCAATTCCTAAATATTCTCAGATCAGAAAGTCTTCTTATAACAAGAGCAATCTCTGAAATGGATCATTCTACAAAGTGGTTGCTAGTTATATTGGTCTAAATGCGGTAAAATGATTTTCGAGAAAATTCAAAATGGCCACCAATAGAAAGCCAAATACTTGAAAAATTTGCAGAATGTAATGTAAAAGCCCTCAACTTTGCAACCTTCGAAATGGATTTATTCATGAAATACAATAGAATCGGAGCTCTCCATCTTTCTCTTAATAAGTGTATTAAATTGTCAAGAGTAATGTCGGAATGATTTATTTTGGTGTTATCATAATAGGTTTTCAAAGGTTCTTGACAACACTCATTGCTGAATGCTGATACAAACGCAGTTAACAAACTGAGAATTCTATATTTATACTGTTTACGTTAAAAAATTCCAGTGGGAATTACATGAAGATAATGCAAGCAATCTTACATTCTAGTTTTCTTTCCGAGAATTTCGGTTAACACATTTCTTCTCAGTTTTGATCATACAGAAAACAAAAAAGATTTGACGAGGATCTGAATGAAAAATAAACGGTTCAGTTACCTAACGTTCCAACAAGTGAAAACGCTCCATACGTCAACATCGTGGCCCATAAGAATACACTCGAGTCTGTAAAATGAGCAACGGCATCTTCTTTCCCGTCACCGATCGTCTCATTTGAGTTGATTTTTATATGAAAGTCCTCAACAACATCCATATTACGATTGCGCTACTTCACTGCCGAAGTTCCCTGTTTTGAAACCTAGTTCCTCCAGAATGGTTCTTGTCGCAAGTTTGTCGAGGTTTTTATCATATATATAGGATTGGTGTTGCGCTTAAGGATCGATTAGCATCGCAGAGATGATCAGATATCATTCAACAATTTAATTCAAAGGACGAGTGGCGTTAAGAATGATGATCTGCATTTAAGCCTGCTCATCACGTTACGACACATTCAATGGCGCAACAATAAATTCATATGAAAATTTAACTTTATCTTTCAACCCTATACAAGAGTAACTGCCACACAACATGCGCATACTGTATATGTACAGGGTGGTCCAAAAGGCCAACCGCTGCAACAGGCTATATATTCCTTAATACATACGTGAATTGGCTCATATCATCACATGTTGTAGAGAAAGGTCTAAAATTCATGTTGATGCCATAATTCATTCTCAGTTTTGAATTTTCTTTCATATCTTACAGAAATCAAAAGAAAATCAATTATTCGATATTTAAAGAAAATTTGTCATTTTTGCGTCAAAATTAGAAAATTCTAGGGAACCGGGCAAACTTGGGAGATGGCGATTACAGGTCAAATAGGCTCTATGGTTATACTGTACATGAAACGAATGTGGATATGACTTGATACCAATAACAGTGTTAATTTGTGTGGCCATTGATGACAATCATGAAACCTGCCATTGACTTTAAACACAAGAAAGTTCCCTGAAAATGACAGTCCTACTTTTTGTTAAATGTTATCGAGTAAACACCGAAAACTGTAATTCCAAGAGCTTTGAAATCTTCAGAGGACATATGCTGCACAAGCAACTAGGCTATTAACATTTATTATTCCAACGAACGAAGCATAATGTCATTGAAGTTTTTTTTTATTTTTTGTATGTTTTCTTCTGTTATCTGGTGAATTATCTTACTATCAAAAATGCATTTAAATGCCAGTACAGGTAACAGGGTGTTATTCAATCAATCCAAGATATGTTTATCCAAGATTATACTGAAGAAAGTCATTTTCAAAAGTCTGATATCACAAAATGATTTAACCCTAAAGCTGAACACTCATCAAATCATTGCCAGTATGATATAGCATTGAAATATTTTTCACCAGTGTGTAACCTTAATTTAGTATTTGAGGTTTCAGAAAATGATGTTGTTGAATATAAAAATAGCGTGTTTTCTATTTTGATGTCTCTATTGAGACTATTAATCTAATTAGGTTATATCCTGGAAATAACGCTATGTAGCTTTATTATGATCGTGTCGTTTTATTATAACATCATAATAGTTGGGTGTCTCGGTGACAATACTGATGATCGTTTTACTGATGACCATATATATACCATAATGACCATATGGACAGGAAAATTAATAAATTTCGAAATATACGTCAAGCGTTAATCTTTATCAGGGCTCCGATTGAATTGCATATAATTGAAATTGATATACATATATTTTTTTATTCTTATTTTTACTTTAATAAAAGAAGGTATACAGTGACTGTCACATTGTAAGTAATGATCATGTGATGCTCCTGAAAAAACGAGATTTATCAAAGCAAAACTTCTCTGACGTATTTACGGCATTGATTATCAAAGAGATTGTTCATAAAATGAAAAAATATAAATACTGGTATGCATTATGCGCATTTCTTTTTACAAATCCTTGATTTCACGTATGATATACCCTCTGACTGTTTCTAATTCATCGAATATAAATACTTATGACCAATCAAAAGTAATGTTGAACTTTTCAGACCAAATTATATAAACCACGCCCCTCGCATGATTTGCTCCCTATGAAGACATGCAGTTACATTGCCGCTTCAAAATGATATGTCCCGGTTGGCATTAAGTTTACATTCGGTCTGTGATAAAGCAAGTAGCATAATTGGTCAAATTTAATCTCATCCAATCAAATTAGACACATATCAGGACACATATCAATTAATATCAATTATTATCCTACACTTAGTATACTAAATGTATAATAACATTAAAAAATAAATTTGATATTTATTGGCAAAATGAATATCCGGAGGATATCGTAACGATATACTCCGGGCGGAGGATATCGTGACGATATACTCCGGAAACCCCAATATGCGGAGGATATCGTGACGATATACTCCGCTTGTTGATTTCCCGCCAAATTGACTCTATTTGGCATGGAATTCATTTTGCAATGATATTATACATTTAGTACTTTCCTTGTAAGTGTAGGATAATAAGAACATCCTATGATTTTTTCAGAATATCATTTTAATCTACTCTGTGATATTGATAAATGCACTCGTTCGCTTCGCTCTCTCGTGCAGATATCAATATCACCTCGTAGATAAAAATGATATTCCTCAAAATCATAGGATATCCTATAAATATTTAAAACAGTTATCGGTAAATAAGTTATATCGTCACCAAAATCAAAAGTTATGGGCACTCCGTGACAATGTACATATTTTGAAACAAGGTTATCTATTCTTGATTTTACATTAATTGTCAAGGTTTAGATGTCAAGTGATATTCAATATTTTGACCATTTAGTTTCATATTTCAGGGCACTTTACATGGTTAAAAGTACAGTGCCTTTGCGTAATCAAATGAGGTTGAACAGCCGCATCTGAGTAGCCAATCAGCAGTTTAAGTTCTCTGGGGAAAGGATCTACAGTATCTACGTACAGGTCAAGAATCCAGCAAATAATCAATCAGTACTCGAACATCGTCATTACATGATCGTGTCCTATTGATATATGATCAAGTAAAAATTCAAATTCATTGGATTATTAGTATTACGTCAGGCCTACGTGCGCATAGGATAGATATTCATTGTCTCAAATGACACAATGATGTTACGGTGTCATCAATTCTGGAATCAATAATAGCAAGGTGAAATGTGTACTTGAAAAAAAACAATGGCAACTGAAAAACACAATACATTGCAACACAATACCATACACATTCAATACTTGTCATTCAATACATTGAATTATTTTTGTTTTTCACACACCTTTCTAACTGTCGGGAAAATCCGGGTATGCTCCCCTTGGCAGATTATACACAGGTAAACAACCTATAAGATATTTACAGGACGTTCAAAAAGTGCTAATAAAAAGGCCGTGTTTTTGTTGATGTTTTTTTCAGAAGAGTAGCTAATTGTACTGATTTTGAAGTGTTATTACTCATCCATTATTGACATAATTGGTCCCGGAGTGGGGATTTCCAAAAGATCAGAATTGATATTGAGACAAACAAATTAACAAATTACAAATTGGCAAACAAATTAAGAAATAATTGTAAAATTGAAGGAATTAAAATTGAAAAAGATAAAATCAAAAAATAGTCCAACACGCAGATGACACAACTCTCGCTCTATCAAAGAAGCACTCTATCAAAGAAGCAATCAAAACAATAAATGAGTTTACTAAAAACTTAGAGAAAACAGAGGGTATATGGCTTGGTAATTACAAGGGCAGTGGAGAAAAATTTGAAAATACTACTTTTAAGTAAGAACCGATAAAATGTTTCGGTATTTATTTAGGAAATGACAAAAATGAATGCACTGAAAGAAATTGGAATAATAAAATAAAGAACATAGAAAAAATGTTTGAATCATGGAAAAAACGAAAACTAACTCTTTTTGGTAAAGCCCATATTATCAACACTTTAGGTATTGCGCAACTTATATATAATTTTAGTATTCTAGAAATACCTGATAAAATCATTGATAAGATTAACAAAATTATGTTTAAGTTCTTGTGGAAAAAGGATAAGATAAAAAGAAACACATTAATAGCAGAGGTGGCGTTAACGCAATTTTTTACGTTTTTTACTCACATTTTTGCAACTCTGACGCAAATATTCATTGTCTACCGAGTCTTTCTGACGCACGTTTGTTTCACATGCAAAATCCCCGCTTGGTACTTGGTTAAATTGATCCCTATACGTGAAAATACGTGATTGATCAAATTTATAATTTTGCTAATTCCGGAAATCTAACATTTCGTTCAGCGCAATCGAGCCTCCTTCCTACCGATCATTTTCTTATTTCGGTATTTCATATAATTTTTAAAGCCCTGTGATTCAGATTCAATGATAAACTTGAAAACATTGATCGATCCCTCGATTTGTTTATCTCGTGTGCTAGGGGGCGTATCAAAAATGCAATAAAACGAACATAACATTGAACAATAATTTATTAATTTCATACTCCCTTCTAAGGATTTTAGTGATCGTATATTTATCTAAATTACCGCATAAAATCTTTCCTTGAATATTCACACGCTAGATTTACGAACCTTTAGTTTCCTTCGCAAGTTCGCAAAATTCCTTCGCTAAGTTAGCAAGTTTCCTTGAGCCGTCCCCTTCATCAGCATGCGCAGATGTAATGCGCAGTAGGTTTATCAATGGTGCTCACAGTGACCGATCTATCGTAAGTTTTCACCAAGTATTTTCAATTAACTCCCTCAAGTTAAGATCTTCGATTCACTAGATCTGAAGCTGATCCTATGAAGATAGATAATGGGCACATGAAAATCCAGTCGATCGCACATTAGGGGGGTAATGATGATAAATTAGGTATGAAAACAAATCTACTTTCGGTTTCATTTTATAATTACAAGATTCTACCGTATTCAATTTAAATGATGCCCAGTATTGTGGTCGGACTTATATTGCCGTTTTAGACTTTGGAATGATTGCTAAAATGTTGAATTTCAACATGAAACGCTTTGACCCCAATTTGTGTAACTCCACACAGGGAGAAACTCCTCTCCCACTCCATTCACACCCATGACTCGCTGGACCAGATAATCAAATGATTAATAGTGACATTTTTCTTGCAATTGCCTAATTAATTAATTGTTAGTTGTTAATGTGCTATAAGAGTACAATAAAACGTATGCACAAAATCAAAAAATAGATTTTGTATGTGGTTTCTACATTTTGTATGCATTTTTACTCAAGAAAAACACTTTTATAGCTTTGACTCAACTTTTTTTCTTGTGACTCACTTTTTTGAAACTACCTGAGTCATGATGACTCACAAGAATATATGCCTACCGCCACCGCTGAATAGGTAATGTCATAGATGGTGGTATCAACCTTGTGCATATACAAAGCAAAATTGAAGCTCTCAAAGCGGCATGGGTAAAACGTCTAAAAAACGCTGATACATCCTGGTGAATCATTCCAACTTTTATAATAAAAAGAATTGGCTTTACAATTGACGATTTTCTAAAAACGAATTTTGATGAAAATACTTAAATTTTGAACAGATATCATTTCTACAAATCAATCTTTATTGCACATAATAAGTGTAAAGAAATAAACAATTCACGAAATCCAGGTTCTGAAATAATTTGGTTGAATAAAAGATTTCTCTACCAAGATAAATATATGTACTATAAAAATTGGAGAGATGCAGGATATATGTATGTAAAAGATTTCTTTAATGAAGAAGGTAATTTTATAGATGAAAGACATCTACTACGAAGACTTCAAAATAGTAGGAATTGGATGATAGAATATATGAAAATCAAAATGGCTTTAAAACATGTAACACACCAAGAAAGGAAACACATGAATTTTACAAATATAATTTATACAAATCTCTTTCTGTATAAAGAGTGTGGCTTTAAAAATATATAATTTTTTAAGTCAAACTTCTTTTATAAGATTTTAACAAATGAAAAATTTGTAAAACCAATAGCAGAAAAGAATTGGAAAGAAATGTTTAATCAAGATATTAGCCAATCATATACCAGGAAGATCCATGAATTTAAAATCAAAAACATTGACTGCCAAAAATTGTCCGAATTCAATTTTAAACTTCTACATAATATTCTACCTTGTGGTAAACTTGTGAGTAAGTGGTACAGAAATGTTTCTAAAAAATGTATTGAATGTAAAGTTGATCAAGATATCGAACATTTAATTTTTAACTGTAAAATTGTAAAACATATTTGGGTCATCTTGGAAAAGTTTTTTAAGTGTAACATCTCCTGGAAGATACTTCTTTTAGGATACCAGAGTAATAGCAATGTTTTGAAATATAGAACTCTTATCATTACAATAGTTATGAGATGTATTCATAACCTCTAGTTGAAAAACTCTGAAGATCCAGAATCTTATAAAAAGTCATGTTTTAAATAAAAAATAGCAGTATATTTTGAATCATATAAGAACAAAATTTGTAACTCTTTACAAAGATGCTTAAGTGAATTTCTAAAATAACCTGTTTTATTTTATAACATGTATATCCTTTTATATTAGATGTAAATGCATGTGTAAATGTATTTTGTAACTTGTATATATGTTGAATAAATAATTTTATAAAAAAAGAATTGATATTGAGACACTTGTTATCCATGTGATAGATCCATATAAGGCTTATAAAAATCCAAAAAAGAGGATTGGAAGACGTTATTCAAACTCGACACTCGACACTCAACACTCAACACTCACGTTACTTTCCGATACCTTTCGAAATTCACCGTTACAGATTTCCTTGGGCATCTTCGAACCAGAATGGGGACATCAATGCCCCCGTTTTCTGTTTCTAGAGCCAACAATTTTTTTTCTCAAAAGGCTTAGTTTAAGAACTACCGGTTCCAAGTAGTAAGTAACCTCTATCGCACTAAACTAGTTCTCAACCGTTCTTTCTAGTCCTACAAAAATGTCGTAAACGGGCTAAATCTGGCTGTGGTCGGGAAATATGTCTAAAATAATTAGCTACTTCGTTCATAAACAGTCTTCATACGTCCATCTCATTTGTACTTCTTTCAGGTTGCACAATATCGATGTGCACACGTATACTGGAATTTGATATCCGATTGTATAACGTCGTCAGTGCGTCCCTACAATGTAGTAGGGTCGAGGTACGGCAATAACGTCGTATAGTCGCCATTGAATTTTGAATTCAAAATTATAGATCACCTTCCCGTCGGAGCATGTCCAGTTTGAACTTTTTCTTCATTTCACGAGTAAGCAGAATTCTCACAACATTTTGTTTGAATTTCTAGAAACATATGATACTTGTGAATGTTTGTGCCGAAACGATTGGGATGAATTCGAGAAATGGTCTCGAGAAATCAAGGAAAAAGAAAAAATCTTACCGGACTTTCCAACCGGAATCGTATCCATCTTGTTACCAAAACGGATCCATTTCGGTAACAGCGTATTCGAGTGTAGTACCAGTATTTGTGCTTGGTCTTTAGAATGTTTTGTTGGCTCTCTGTAGAAATAATTTGTTATCTTTAGAAATTTTGTTTACTAAGACTGTAATATAGGTCAACGGTTATGGTACTATGAAGCTCACAAAAAAATTAAAGTCAGTGTCAGCCTTTTGCCATTAGATATGTTTCATTTTCCTCGACACAACCAATTAGAAATTTCACTGCATCTCATTTCTTGATGAGTACAAACGGAATACATGAAACACAAATAATATTGGCAAGATACAGTAGATATGAATACTGTATCTAAACCTCTCGAAGGCATTTGACACAATTTATCATAATACATATTATATATTATTTCAACATACATATTAACTTCAGCTTTTGGATGAAACAATTAAATGCACAGAAGATTTTAGTTGTACGATTTTAGAAAATCACCAAGTTTCAATATGGTATGTTTACTTTTGGGGTATCACAGGGGTCTATTTTAGGACCTGTCATATTTATAGAATGTTAAAATACCTTGAATGCAATAATCTGGATTTTGATTGACAATTGTAATTGAGATTGCAACATTATTTACTAGTTACTGTCTTTAGAAATATGTGTCCACCTTTGTTAATTCGTGGTTACAATGATCTAGCTGATATTAAATATTAAATGTTCATTATAGTTTTGAATCAACCCTCGTATCTCGTATATCAACTACGTTTATTTATGTTTCGACTATCAATACGACTCAATAAGTCCTATGTTTATTGATTTGTATTGGTCATCGATCACCTTTATATTTACCACATCTCTTGCACATACTACACTGTCACTCTCTTTAAGAATTTAGTCTAAAAGCGGCCTTGAGTTAAGTGACTATAAAAGACTTTCAAACATATCTTGAAACGATCAATTTAAAGAAGTGATCATGTAATAGAAAATCCAACTCCATGAATCTTTGCAAATTTCATTCATGTCACAATGTTATAATACGTATGTTACATACAAAGTTGGTGGATATGTTTTGAAAACTAATTGTAAGAGAGACACCAACATACAATTCCAAGGGAACTTTGTCGCCAATTAAAAAATGTTCGAATCTTCATTGTTTTCAGCAAGTTTCACTTTTAGTGCATAAACATTATTAATAATAAATCCGTTAAAGTGTATTAATTAAAGAATGTGATTATATTCCCCCTGCGATGTTTGACAACCCTAACAGTCTCGTAAGATTACATGCTAAACCTCTTAATGTCCATAATATGTAATTAGAAAACTAGTATAACAAGTTATGCTTTGACAAAACGTTGTCAGGCTTTAAGATAATGACAACAAACTGTATTTTAAGAAATACTTTTTAAGGTTTCTTGACTTCTAGGCTTAGTTTTTATCAAAATTATAAACTTCCATGATTCCGTTTGATCAAAATACACGTTTAATCGTACGATTCTCCAACTTCCTACACGGTACTCAAATAAGAGTAGGATGAACAGATACTTTAATCAGTTGAGGTATTAATGTCCAACATTCTAATCAGCATCACTGTAAATACATATCCACTATATAATCATTTACTATTAATTTTATTTATTTACATTGTATAGCAAAGATAATTTCATGTCACTTCATGTCAATTTCATGTCACTAAAGTGTTGTTCTTGAAGTTTTGGAAGAATTCTGTACTCGAGCGTGAAGCCTAGAAAGAAGGACATTTACATCAGTATGGCGTTTTTATAAACTTTTTAGAAAACTATAATGGACCGAGGATCTTTTTCATATTCATGGAGTGTCTGCACTCTTTTCAATTTAGCTTTTGTTGGATATTTCACATCAGGTTAGTAACGTGCCATCCTTTTTAGCCAACGCTATATTAAATTTTACAAAGAACTGTTGTTTCTGTTGTTTATCTCCATCTAGATTATATAATTAGCCTCAATATTACTCTTTCTTCATTTTCGACATTATGCATTTCAGCAATTATATCAGAAATTAAAAAAATCAAATTGAAAACAACTATTATGAAAATTAACTGTGTTCGTTTTGCAGAGACTCGTCTTTGGTCGAGAGTGTGTCGATAAGATGCCAAGAACTTGCGCGAATAAAACATAAAATATTAAACATAATTAATATGCGAAAGTTACCACTGAAAGTATTTCATAGTCTTATTCATCCATTGGACCACCTTTACAACAACAGTCTCGAGGCCTCCAACTTCAAAATCCCAAATACATTTAGCTCAGGCTGTAACTGTGAAGTGATTGTAAGATTTCATCAAAATTTTATTTTAAATTTTACTTATCACATTTGTGTTCATTTTTTGTTGATTCATTGTACCTCTCTAGATTTGTCACATGTAGGTTTATGTTTTTTGTTACTAATTCTTGAAGTAATATATATTTCTAGTTACTTCTCAAACCTGTCCTAATGTTGGTACCAAATGGAAAACCATCACATCGCCGGGTTGGCCCGATCCCTATACCCCAGGGAGTTCCTGTGTGTGGCGACAAGTAGCCGTGATACCAGGACTTTCATCTTTTAGCACTACTCTTCGTATCACAATCAAACACTGGGACGTTAACCCAGGAGATGTCATTGATATTTACGATGGCTATTACTGCGGGTTTTTCAGTACCTTAATTAGAACTATTAGAGTGGATTTTAAAACTGGTGATAAATTCCGAGATAATATTTTCATAAACGGACACGAGGCATGTTTGGAGTTCTTTAGAGATAACAATGTTCGTGATAATAGAGCTAAGGGGTTTCAAATCGAAGCTAAGGGTAAGTTTTCAATGATAATAAAGTTTGCGGAGTGCTACGGTGTTCTGGAGTTGACCATTGTATTTTCAATTTGATTATTTATGTTTTGTTTCTACATGCATCATACGCTTTTTAGCTCTGCAAAAATGTGGGGGCATTTTGAAAGATGTTTCTGGAGAGATAGTCTCAGTACGTTACCCAAGGGCAAAAGACTCGTCGAGATGCCAATGGAAGATACTTTCCGGAAAGCCTGGCCAAAGAGTGAAGCTTTTCTTTGAAGACATAGGAATGCAGATATCTTCGAAAGGATGTACAATAGACTATCTACGAGTGGGACATGGTGATTTGGCAACGGATGCTGGTATTAGGCAGGAGGACATTTGCGACATGGCTCAGACTGATTCCGGATCAATAATTACGGATTCCTATTTTGTGACATTGCTATATAGTAAAACACAGGGAACGATCACTAAAGGCTTTTGGCTGAAGTTTGAAGGTAAGCTTTGGTGTGTTTTGTGACCAATTGCAAAATCATTTATGGTATGGTATGGTTCTTTAATGATGCAATTGAAATTGTTTTGTACCCTCATATTTTGTCGATAAATGTATTGCTACTTTTAAGTGATTGCGATGATGATATATGAGGTCCCAAGTTTCATCAAACGATAGATACAAATTCATCACAAATCCAAAACCAAATAAATAGAATTTTAAGGTACAACTACGATGAACAAAAAAGACTCATAAAATACTAATCATACCCTCTCTGTTCCAGTCATTGGTTGTCCAATAGCTGATGCACCACGAGTGGAAAACGTAATTTCCACTTTCAAAGGAAACTTATCAGCGTTTTATGACTTCGGTTTTAACGTTACACTGACATGTCAAAGTAACTTTACCTCCTCCGCTGGTACGGGAAACAATGTTACTGTCTCTTGCTTAGGGGACAGAACATGGAGTTTATCGGACACGTGCGTTGGTATGTGCCACCACTTAATAAACTTATAACGTTAATCTAACTTATATTTCGAACATTCAATAACAGATGTAACAGATTCAATAACTCTGTGGCAATCTTTTTTAGAAATCAAATGTGACAAGTTAAAGTCCCCGGATGACGGAAATGTGACTTTTACATCCGGGGTATCTCTTGGAAGTGTTGCCACACTGAGCTGTAATGATGGGTACACCTTAGAAGGGTCTAACACAAGGACTTGTGTGCAAAATGGAATCCAAGGCACGTGGACCGGAATTCAGGCAAAATGTTTGAGTAAGTCTTTGATGATCAAAGTACATGTACAGCAAAGATATTCAAGTCATGCACTCATATCCATTGATCAGTGGTCATCGCATTATCGTGATCGTTTAGCCTACTTCTCGACGGGGTTGTTTTGACGCAGAGATTCAAGTTTTTGATGTTAATGCATTTCTGCTATTATTTATAAGTGAAGTTCGATATTGTATCTTTACATAGCCTACTATTTTCCCTTTCCTCTTATCTAGAACAATGTCCTTCACTGAACAATGCAGTCATAAGAAATGGAGTTTTAAGCACCAATTCTAGAACGGAAGGAGCATTAGTAAGATTGAATTGCAGCAAAGGTTTCTTTGTGAATGGAACATCTACGATTCAATGTTTATCGAATGGCACTTGGGATGCAAATCTTGGATCATGTGAAGGTAATAATATTAATCAAGTGTGTAAAAATTACAACAGGTCTCTTCCCTATCGGTTGTGATTCCCCATCCCCCTATCATCCTCAGCACAAGTTATACAAACTCATGCCCATAAAAATTGAAATGCAACGTCAAGTGTTTCGAGTCTGCTCTGAGTCTCCTTTCGGCACACATGTTCGAAGCCGTCTGCAAAAAGATCGTATGTTTCAAATGTTAATTGTACAAGATACAATTCATTTATCTTCGTTTCAGCCATTTCATGCCCAATTCTAAATATATCAAGAATAGGCCGTGTGTCGAATCTTAACACATCTGTGGGGACCGAAGTAGAATTGAACTGTGACGACGGATATTTCGTAAATGGCACATCCTTTGTTATGTGTTTATCAAATGGCACTTGGAATGGAAGACTTGGAATTTGTGAAGGTATGTGTAGTGCATGTTGTGTGCAATTGTGTACTTTTGATATTTCAAAAGTATTTGTGCTTTCAAGAAATGGAGCCTATTTGAGTATTGCAAGTTCACAATTCATCATTCCTCCTTTCAGAGATAACATGCCCTACTTTAGAAAAACCAAACAATGGCATTTTGTCTAGTTTCAATAACTCAATCGGAGCAGAGGTTGAGCTTATTTGTGATGAGGGGTTCGACGTCAATGGGTCCTCAATTCTTACATGTCTGTCAAATGGAACTTGGAATGATTTATTTGGAAAATGCACAGGTAAAACGCTATTCTTGAGCACTGTATATGTAACCACTTTATTTCATATGTTTTACCGTAGCCTACATATCAACCTATTACGCATCATTTGTATGTTTTTGTTTGCACGCATTCTTCTTTCTTTCAGAAATAACATGTCCAACTTTAGGAAAACCAAATAATGGAATGTTGTCCAGTGTCAATAATTCAATCGGAGCAGAAGTCGAGTTGGTTTGTGATGAGGGGTTCTATGTAAATGGTTCCTCCATTCTCACATGTCTGTCAAATGGAACTTGGAATGATACATTATTTGGAAAATGCACAGGTAAAAACGTTATTCTTGAGCACTGAATGTAACTACTTTATGTCAAATGTTTTTACCGTAGCCTACATATCAACCTATTACGCATCATTTGTATGTTTTTGTTTGCACGCATTCTTCTTTCTTTCAGAAATAACATGTCCAACTTTAGAAAAACCAAATAACGGAACGTTGTCCAGTGTCAATAATTCAATCGGAGCAGAAGTCGAGTTAGTTTGTGATGAGGGGTTCTATGTAAATGGTTCCTCCATTCTCACATGTCTGTCAAATGGAACTTGGAATGATACATTATTTGGAAAATGCACAGGTAAAAACGCTATTCTTGAGCACTGAATGTAACTACTTTATGTCAAATGTTTTTACCGTAGCCTACATATCAACCTATCATACGCATCATTTGTATGTTTTTGTTTGCACGCATTCTTCTTTCTTTCAGAAATAACATGTCCAACTTTAGAAAAACCAAATAACGGAACGTTGTCCAGTGTCAATAATTCAATCGGAGCAGAAGTCGAGTTAGTTTGTGATGAGGGGTTCTATGTAAATGGTTCCTCCATTCTCACATGTCTGTCAAATGGAACTTGGAATGATACATTATTTGGAAAATGCGCAGGTAATTGCGCGGTTCGTTAACAGGTATTGCTTGCTTGCCTTCTCACTATGTTTACTGTGTCATTGGAATAATTTCTACATTTCAGGAATAAGATGTCCTGCTTTAGAAAAACCAAATAAGGGAAGCTTGTCCAGTGACAACAATTCAGTTGGTGCGGGGGTCGAGTTAATTTGTGATGATGGTTTCTCTGTGAATGGTTCTTTTTCCCTCCGGCTCGTATGTCTGCACGATGGAACTTGGAATACATCACTAGGAAAATGCACAGGTAAAGTACAGTACATGTGTATACTACCAGTACAAATATAGCAAATGTTCAGAACACATCATGAATCGCATGCCTTAAATACGTTTAAATATTAATTTGATCCCGGTGTGAAAGAAATTATGGTCCCCTGGGGATTATGGTCCTTTTTCTAATCGGCCCTTACTGGCCCTGATTGTGTATAAGGCCATATAAATCAATGGAGAGTACGACCATAATAATTGTAAAAGACCGGCCATATCATGTGTAAAAGACCGACCATATTTGAACCTTGAATTATTTTTATAGTTTTTGAATACATAGTAAACGTAGGCACGTTTTTAACCCATTTTGTTCTTTCAATTAAGTTAAACGAAGGGCAGATAAACACTTAAGTACCTGACCTGCCAACCTATCGTTTCTCCGGAAACTTATCTTAATTTTTACTGAAATTCAACGTAGGCCTATATTTAATGAAAATAACACATTTCTAATAAAAATGATTTGTTATTGTTATACTGATTACTGAACACGATGTAATGTTACGTGCGTTCTCTTGTCAGGATCAAAATTGACTAACCATTTTTAAAAGCACGTCATTAGCTATTTTTGTCGTCTTGAATGTAGTTTTTACCACATTGACGTTTAACAACTGAGAAATCAAACATTACGTATTATTATCTTTTAAAAGATGATGATATGATTTTAAAGACCGACGTGTGTGTGTTCTTTGTTATTTTTCATACTGAACATAATGTAATGTTACGTCCGTTTTCTCATTATAATCCAAAGTGGTCAGAATGAAAATTGGTCTTCTAACAACTAAGACATCACTTAAAAATATGACATTATGACATATGACATGTATTTAATCTAATCATTTAATTATATCTGTGTAAAAGACCGACCACCGATTGGCGGTTGGTCTTTTTCGTATACCCCTATTACTTACTTCTTTGGGTCTTCAAACGTGTGTGTTTTTATAAGCACCAATACACAGGCATACATCTATACACAGCACTGATACACAGGCATACATCTATACACAGCACTGATACACAGGCATACATCTATACACAGCACTGATACACAGGCATACATCTATACACAGCACTGATACACAGGCATACATCTATACACAGCACTGATACACAGGCATACATCTATACACAGCACTGATACACAGGCATACATCTATACACAGCACTGTAACACAGGCATACATCTATATACAGCACTGATACACAGGCATACATCTATACACAGCACTGATACACAGGCATACATCTATACACAGCACTGATACACAGGCATACATCTATACACAGCACTGATACACAGGCATACATCTATACACAGCACTGATACACAGGCATACATCTATACACAGCACTGATACACAGGCATACATCTATACACAGCCTTTTTGTACGAGTGGTAGAGTTATCTTGCATGAACCGGGGATCAAATCCATAATCATTATTGGTAAACCACCCTACCACTGAGATATCCGGGTGGACAAGAAATATAAATAGATTCAGGAATTGCTAACATTGATAGCAAATTAATTTGTCCACAGAAATTCACACCACAACTCTTGTGACAACTGAACTTCCTGCAACAAACGCCTTAAAAACAATATGGAGGAATAATTCCATTTCTCAACACACAACCCAAGAGATGACTAAAGTGAATACAACAGCGTCCTCAGCATCACCAACTCTGGCATTTTCCTTGACTACAACAGAGGATAAGACTTCATCAACAACGAGTGGAAAAGGTTCATCGGCAACCATAGAGGATTCAACTTCATCAACAGTAGTTAGACCAACAATAGTGTCAACTCCTATTCCAACAAAGATTTCTTCAGTAAAACCACCAACAATCACGAAGAGTACAGGGAAGCCATCTGTAGTTGGAGCAAGTGGCAACATATTTGCAAGAAACAAAGGTGTGCTTTGAAAATTATTTTTCAGCAAGTGTATTTTTTACTTACTAATCAGCTAACGAAACAATAATATTATTTGAGTAAATTAGCTTATCGAAGCCGCGTCTTGTCTAAAAGGACAGAAATCCGATTGCATACATCTATCGTATTTGTATTTATTTGAATAAAGGTGTTCTGGTTGGTATGATCATTGGCATAGTCGCAATCATTCTGCTTGTCATAGCAATTGTTGGTTTGGTTTGGAAAAGCAAGTAAGTGTTTGGTTCTACTTTGTGTACTGCTATTTAGAATAGGCCTACCATGCAAAAATTGTTTTTCCAAAAACTTGTATTACATCAAATAATAAATCTCTCAATTATGTTTTATATCTAAATATATATTTCAGAAAGTCTAAAATAAGAGAGCCACCTATAGACTATGACGACGATACATTCCATAACCCTTCATATGATTCATCATTTGCACAAAATGAAGGCTATGAATACAAAACACCTGATTACAAATCAACTGCCAACGCACAGAAGTCAAATGGTACTTTGGATATCCCTGAGCCTGATTATGACGTGGTTGACCAGGTGCCTGTGTATTATGCAAGATATACAGGGAATTTAAAGTTAGGTTCAGTTAGGAGCAAATTTGGTGAAAGCGTTTCATGAATAAAATAAACAAAAAAAGGCATTCGTCAAGTAGAAAGAACCACGTATGCTATGGCAAGTGATTTTACAATGACCATTTTAAATCTTATTATTTAAAACGTTTTTCATTAAAGCAGTGAGTTATCTACTAAGGTAAGTCCATGGGATGGCAAAAATATCAATATGACCTCGATGGGATGATGACCCCATATCGATTATTTTTCAAAATTATGTTTATTTTTACACTCGCTAATATTGAGTAATACGTCAGATGTTAGAAACATGTCAGTCTAAAATCACTTGCTTTGTTTGATATACAATTGCACAAATAATGTACTTGCACCATGTATCTAGGATATCTTCATCCTAGGACATCTTTATCCTAGCATATTATTCCATACTTAGTAGTGTTATAGGTAAATAACATGCAGGAATACTTGATATCTGAAGTGAGCGGGTGATATACATATATCACCTGCGAATCAGATCACCCGCTCATCAGACCTAACGTCACTTTAGAGAGTAGATACTGAGCCAGGGGACATGACTATTAAACCATCATAATCACGGTGACCAAGTGTTAACAGTGGAGATTGTCCCGGACGTGTTTTTTCAAACGATTTAGACGTGTTTTTGGAAAACTTGAGAGGTACATGTAGGTTGATAAATTTGGTTATAAAATTACTGTCACTCGACTTTATGTAAATGTACGTAATTTATATTGCTTACCATACTATATATCCTAACTTCAGGTATCCGCAAACGCGTTATTTGCACGAATATATGCCATAGCCTTGTTAAATCGGAAAATGAGCGATTCTGGCAGTGTTACACATGTTATTGCCTGAAAATCGTATTCAATGAATACATCGATTCATAAGGAAAGTACTCACAATATGTGCAGTACTATGAAGTATGATGGAATGATCGCCAAAATAGATACGTGGGTATGAAGAAGAACATCTTAGGGAGAAGACAAGTAATGTAAGTTTGTAAAATATAGAATATTCTTACCTTTTTGCTCCATTCTAACGAATGTCGTATTCCATGTTCTTACAAAATACGTCTAAATCGTTTGAAAGACATGTCCGGAACCATTTCCATTGTTAAGACTTGAGCACCGTGATAATCTACACATCAGATGGACATAATTGAAGGTTGTAGAACTAAATGAATGATTGATGAACATGATGAGACAGGAATTCACTAAATAAAACTTGTTATATTTCGACCTAAACTCATTTGTGTTGCATCTATATTATATATTTAATCATTGTATGTATATTTTATATCACGAAACGGCATACCTGTTGTAAATTGAGTCATAACGCCAAATCGTTTAAAAATGTAAAATTATATGCCACAGTAAACAGAGACATATAAAACATGTTTTATATGTCTCTGCAGTAAATAAGTAAATATGCAACAAATTATGGTAGTGACATGTGCCAACAGCCCATAATAAAACAAGCCCCAATAACTTAAAGTATGCCGCACAAAGAAGCCTCGTACAGGTGTCTACTTATATCATTTTAAAATGAAACAAATCCATAAGGAATACGGGGAAATACCTAGCAATGTAGCCTTGCCCAAGTCGTTCTCTTTTGCTTATTTTGATTTCTACAGGTATATGTAATAATTCAAGATCAGATAAGTAAAAAATACCGACTTGGACAGGAATATTAGCAATGCTATACTAGACATTGTAGATATGACTAGTGCAAATGAATAATAAATTCTTCGGATACGTGGCTTTCAATGATTATTGCCCATAGTCCATGAACATGTTCATAGTAGGCACTCGGGCGTCTAAATAATAAAGGGAACAATTCTTAGTATTTTTCATCATGGTAAAGCCATTATTTTGCCGGAAAGCACTCAATAAGATGACCACTGGACCAGATCTACATGTAGGCCTAGGCCTATTCCAATGCCTCGACTGTTGTCAAATTAGATGGTGTCTTCCATCGTACCAAAAATCATAAAACGACATCAATATAACATACTGTACTTTAGGCTATTGAATTTATCAGCTCATCGTGACCCCACGGACATGCCCCCCCCCCCCCCCCCCATTGTGGGTCAACAAAATGTACAGTGTTACAAATAGGTATTCGAGGGAATCGATGATCAATATTCTTGACCAACAAGTGTGTCGATAAGTACTCACTTGTCTTGAATGTGAATTGATTTATTGCACTCATGAAGATTAAGATTAACATCGTTTAAGTTTGTGACTGTAAGAAGGCGCTCATCTCTGTTCACCCAAAGCACCTATTATCGCCCACTAGAAAAAATATTGACCGTGAGTATTTTTTTCATTTATGCAGTTTATAACAATATATAACTGTATTCTATGTACAAAAATGTCATATAAATATCAGATTGGATACCATCTTTCAATAAACGCATGCATTTTATTCACACAATATCTATTCCAATCGAAAACATGAAAAAGTAAATCAATTTTTTACAAATATTTCAAGTTCAGTTGTTGTGGTGTGTCGTGTGTCAATCAAACGTAAGAACTAAATGTGTTTACCTCTTGTTGTTTATAGAAAATAAATGCTGAATTATACAAATGTTTCTTTCTTATATATGAAAATATTTTTCAATAAAATAGTGTAGTGCAGGCAGGTCAACCCAACTGTCTCGCAATTTGCTTATTTGTCATGCATGCATTTGCTGAATAAATTGAAGTCATGCCCATTTTTTGTGTGACAGAATATGTCACGCAAATACACATTTTTCTGATTATTGTCATTGGCTTTCAACTAATTGAAAGCCCATGTTATTCCGTTGTCATGGATGATATCAAAGATGCTATATTGTGGCGATTCACGACCCCATTTGATAGAAATTGGGATTTCATATAATGCATCATCACACAAGCTTAACACATGCACAGAATTAGCGACGATAAAGTCCCATGAAACGAGGACCAAGTGATTGAAAAGTTGAAGCAACGGTTATGTCCGCCATTTGTGACAACAGTATCTGACTTTACCATTGTCAGGCTATTCCTGTGTGAGGTTGAGAGACCTGTTACTGTCATCCTTTGATTGCTTACTTTTTAGGTTTGATTAATGCACGACTCGTTATTAATGTCTCAGCTGTTATTAACTTTTTTGTTTTGTTTCTTGATTATCAGTTTATTTGTTGTGTGGACAAATCAAGGAGAATTTCTAACATTATATAATATACATTATATGCATATGTAGTGAGCCTTCGGGTCATTAACAGAAACTTTGTAAAGTTAGGAATTCTTAACCATGGATATACATGTAATTACATAATAGTAAAAGAACAATGAACTTAGGAATTGATATATTTCATGAAGTTTCTGTTAATGACCCCTTGGATAGCAAAGTTCTAATGTACTACAGGTCCAACTCCGAAAGGCATCGTCGGAACTACTATTAACTTATTTTGATTCAGGAAAAGTGTATGTTTGTTCATCACGATACTTGCAACTATAATTTTTAGTTTTCTGTTCAGATATATTATTTTAGCGTTTTATACCTTGCAGGTGAATTAAACTAACCTGTCGGTTCAGGATATATAGGTAGATATGGCATTACCTTCTAGTGTAATAGATCGAATTGCCCTCAGTGTATTCCTACTTGGAGGACCTTATACATTTTTCTATGAGTTTTACATAGTGTCGGGACATTATTTTGGAGACCAATATCCAAGCTGGATCTATTTCCATGTATGTATTGGGATGTTTGGAATGTTGGAAACATATTGGAACTTGTATTATGTAAACATCACATCAAATATAGTACCACAGTCACTTTGGACTAAGCCTAAAGACCAAACGGATGGGAAAAAATGTATGAAATGTGCTATTGGAGTACCACCACGGTCACATCATTGTAAATTATGTGATAAATGTATTCTGAAACGTGATCATCATTGTTGGTTCGCTGCAACTTGTATCGGGCATAACAATCACCGCTACTACGTTGTCATGATACTCTATGTATGGATAGCTGCCGTATATGCTAATTTATACAATCTTCAATTCAATATGTACCATATAAGAACTTTTGGAGACCTAGCTGTAACTCTTGCTGGTCCTCATGTGGGTCTATTGCTAGGCTGGTATACTGCATATGATTTTTACATTCGGGTAATGACAGCACTTGGGGTATATTTCCTGGTGATGTTTACATGGTTGCTAGGGTTACAGCTTGTCCAGTTGCAACATGGACAGACACAATATGAATGGAAGAAAAAGATTGAACAATATGATCGAGGGTTGAAGTTCAATCTGAAAGCGATTGTTGGTCAGAGAGTTATTGCTGTTTGGTTTTTGCCTTGGATATCTTCCCCTTTGTTATCAAATGGAATGGACTACACTCGTGGTGAAAAGATGGATTAAGTGCCATGATATACCATGGCATTTTTTAACAGTTTGCAAGTAGAGAAAAGGAGTTGTGAAGAGTATTACTCTCGGAGTGTGGTCGAGGAGTATATGAACAAATTTTGTAACAAGTCACCATTAAAAACATGTGAAATCTAAAAAAATAACTTAATTTGCATTTGTCACTTTGATTCGTCAAGTACTTGTATCTTTGCCTTGTACTTGGCTTAGTGTGACAAAAATTGGTGATCTCCATAGCTTGATGTTTGATAACAGGGCAATTACACTGTACTTGTATTAGTTTAGATTTTTTATTATTATGTTTTTATACTGTAATATTCTGTTAAAGTTCTTTAAGCTTTGTGTCTGTCAAATATTTGTGATCTCCATGTTGTAATGTTTAATAACAGGGCAACAACACTGTACTTGTATTATTTCTGATATTATATTTCTGTAGATTTCTGTTTATCAATGTATTTTATTTTATATTATAATAGTCTGTTCAAAATCAAGTACATTTGCCTTCTACTTGGCTTTGTGTCTGTCAAAATGAGGTCAATATATTTTTGTAATTATTTCGATTATTGCAGGCCTATTTTGCATTAAAATCTGTCTACACATTATCAAGTAGTATGCAGAAGTATAGTTACTCGAGTCTCTAGCCAATTCTTGGCTCTAGAAGTAATTTCATCTGGAACACTGTGAACGCCATTTGAAAATAGCTGGCCAGCGTGTCATAATTTTATTGAATATTTTAAAAATCGCCAGATAAATAAATCATTAATTAAAATTGGACCGGCTGGGCTCCTTGATGAGATATTGCATGATTTCGTTTAAAATTAAAACAAATGGCTCCAAGAAAAATGGCGATATTCGAAAACTGGTCCAAATATCGTTAATGTCTGACATGATTAGTAACTGGCTATAAATTCTAAGTTAGCGATCCAGAAGATGTGAACTAATACATTGATCACTTCATGTGAGTTTGGAATTTTTGGTGAGGTAATAAGACAAAAACTCAAAATTCAAATTGTGATGTGGAAAAATGGTGGACATTTGATTTCAAATTTTATGATTACGACATGACCCGTTGTACATGCAGGAATTTATCTTTGGACGAAGGCCACGATACAGTGGCCTTAGAAGAAGGTAAAAGTATATCAGCATGAAAATATTTTGGCTAGATTTTCTTTATGTTGTCAGTATAGATTTATGATGATTTACTATTGTTAGATGTTTGAATTAGTCTCAGAGCTAGTGCTATACTATACATGATGTGCAATTAGTAGGAATAAAATACTTTAAACATTACTTGTCATTTGTTATTTTTCTATTGTTAATTTTTCTGGTAATCTGTCCAATCCCGATTGGGGATTATAATCCTCTTTAAAGAAGTTCAAATCTTTGGCAAGCTTATCATAATTCAAGAAATACAAGGACACTGGCGGATGTATATGGGGTGCATGAGGCCAAGCCCCCCCCCCTTCCACTAAAATTACTTGGCCTTTTTGGGCCTTTCTTTTTATATTTAGGCCAAATTATCAAAAATGGGCCTTAAATTGTTTCTATGGGCCCACAATTTTTCTGTCTTGAAATAAGCCCCCCCCCTCCCCTTGTTAGCTTCTAGATCCGCCACTGAGGGTGGTCTAGGTGGTCCAAAAAAGCGAACCCTCATATTCTCACTCATATTTAAGATGAATGATTCAGAAAATATATTCAGAAAACAGTATATTTTCTTTAACTCCTAGATTTAATCAGATCAAGTGTGCACAACATTCACTGTGGACGATGTGATTGGCCTACGTTGATGACCTGCAACATGCAGCAGCCAACATTGTGACACAGCATGGAGTTCTTAGAAGGAGAGAATCAGTATGTGAACAACTTGTCACCTGAGCTAAGGGAAAAGGCTGCGAATGAACTGAAGGAGAAGCCAGAATGGGTGTCACGAGATATTGAAGCTTTGAGGGAAATGGTGAAAGCTCACCCAGGTATTTTATTATATGCGATATGGATCACTGGATGGTGAAAACATACTTTATATTTATATTTCTGAATACTTGTATCAAGTATGCTTGTCCTATACAAATCAGTAAAACAGAATATAATTCATCTTCGGTCAATCATAAAACATTGATACTTTTCTTCAAGAGAAAGTAATAGAAAAAGAGCATATCAGAAGGGCCTTCAATGGTGTACTTCTAACCATGGTACCTTTTCCCTTTAATCAAATCCTTGTGTAGTTGTAGGCAAAGCCATTATTTTTATTTCACTTTCAGGTTTAAATTCATGTGTCAGTGATGCATTCTTGCTGCGCTTCCTACGCTCGAGAAAATTCGACTATGACAGGGCCCTAAATCAACTGCTGCGCTACTACAAGGTTAGGAAAGAAGATGTTACAATGTTCAATGACTTTAAACCTTCTAAAATCAAACATGTGCTTGATGATGGTGTGATTGGAGTGTTGGAGAACAGAGATCTCTCAGGTCGTAAGGTTATAATCTTCCGTCCAGGTAATTATATATCTGTATAGTATTTGAAATTTTAGGCGAGGCCATGTTTATTTATTTAATAGAAGTTTTGTATTTTACCACCCCCTCCCTATTTTTCTTCATAATAATAAATTAAATGCAAAAGGTCCTTGCTGCATTCATGTTCTAGTAGATCTTTTAATTAATGATTTTACATGTACATGAGAATATTATTTTACATCTCATGCTCATGTTCATACCAGGTGCATTTGTATTGAGTGAAACCTCTAATCTAAACTCTCAATGTGAACGATTTCTACATCCCAAATTTATGATATCCCATTGTCTCACGTAGTAAAAACTTGTAATCTGAACACTTGCTTATCTGAACACTTTTGACTGGTCCCATGGTGTTCACATTGGACAGGTGCACAAGAACCAGACAGCCGGGAAAAAAAAGTATTCATTGTTCACAGTTATAAAAGGAACAATTAAGAGACAAATGTATACATGTACATTTTGTCCTAAATGTTCAAAGTGTAATGCCCCAAGCAATACAAATAATGAAAAACATTCTCATTTAATTGTTGTAGGGAAGTGGTGCCCCTCTAAATACCCCACTACAGACTGTATGCGAGCCATGGTCATGACCCTGGAACTACTAACAATGGTAAGTCCTGAACCAAGTCTCTTTTCAGAAAAAATAAACTTAAGGGAAATAATGTTGATTGTTCCAAGGCCCATAAAAACCTTAGATCAACTGTAACTGCCTTTTTGATATACAAATTGGAAAAAAATGTTGAGGTGTAAATTTAGACAAGGAGGCAAAATGAGGTAAAATGAGACAAAGATATACTTGTCAATTGTCATGTCCTGCCAGGCAAGCAGCCAGGGAAGTCATCGTGTATTTTCAGAAGAATACCTTTTTGAATTGATTTTATATTATTTAGGGATACTTCTAGGTATACAATTCCAAGACCTCATAAGTTATAAGTCAGTTTTATATCCCACCAATCAAAGTTCGAGTAAGGATAATAGAGAAGCCTTCTGTGTAGCTTTCAAGATGGTTGTTGAATTCAAAATGGCTGTCTTTTTTCAGGAAAAAATATAATTCACCATAACTTATTGGATTTCATCCAAATTTTAAAGGTTGATGCCTTGTGGGTATAGGATTCTACCCGAGAGGGATTTTATAAGGTGCCATATGTGTACATTTTGCTAAAGTGTTAACTATTTTTACCACTAAATATTGTTAATTATGTTTATTTCCAGGATGAGGCAACTCAGATCAATGGTGTGATAGTGTTAGCAGATCTACAGGACACTACACTCAGTCATGTCACTCATATAGGCCCAAGCATGGCCAAAAGAATGAGCAGAATTATTGAGGTAGCCATGGTATTTGCTGGGTTTTCATAAAATGTACAATGAAAAGGCGTACTGAAATCAATAATGAAATTATACCCAAATTAACCAAATCAAAAAACCATTAGAGGTAACTCTGAAATTATACCAAATTAAACAAATCAGTTTAACATGTTTAACCGCTGCATCTAATTAAATTGTTTGATGGCAGTTCATATCGTTTCTTTCAGGAGGCATTTCCTGCTCGGGTGAAGGCAATCCATTATGTGAATGCACCTTATATATTCAGTGTGATATTTGCTGTACTTCGAGGATTCCTGAAAGAGAAACTTGCCAGTAGGGTAGGAAATAATTTGCCAATCGTCTCTTTGAAACAAATGATGCAGTATCACAAATGATCGTACATTCACCTGGGATATTTTCAAAAGTTTTCAAGAAATCTTTTCAAATTTATTCAGAATTTTTTTATGGCACCCTTGGGTCTATATTGTGAACAGTTGCCAGGTGGGTTGATAGGTGTGGAGGTGGATGGGCAGGCAGTGCGCTTGTCCTGATAAATCTTGTCTACATGCTTCCAACCATTTGAACAATTCATCTGAAATTTTCAAGGATATTTCTACCTATAAACGTTTAGAACTGATTAGTTTTGGGGCATTCTGGGTAAATGTTAAGGTGGCCATTTGGGATTTTCTGTCCTGAAATCCTGTCAGTCAAGACTTGTCTACATCAGAGGTGGCGTTAACGCAATTTTTTACGTTTTTTACTCACATTTTTGCAACTCTGACGCAAATATTCATTGTCTACCGAGTCTTTCTGACGCACGTTTGTTTCACATGCAAAATCCCCGCTTGGTACTTGGTTAAATTGATCCCTATACGTGAAAATACGTGATTGATCAAATTTATAATTTTGCTAATTCCGGAAATCTAACATTTCGTTCAGCGCAATCGAGCCTCCTTCCTACCGATCATTTTCTTATTTCGGTATTTCATATAATTTTTAAAGCCCTGTGATTCAGATTCAATGATAAACTTGAAAACATTGATCGATCCCTCGATTTGTTTATCTCGTGTGCTAGGGGGCGTATCAAAAATGCAATAAAACGAACATAACATTGAACAATAATTTATTAATTTCATACTCCCTTCTAAGGATTTTAGTGATCGTATATTTATCTAAATTACCGCATAAAATCTTTCCTTGAATATTCACACGCTAGATTTACGAACCTTTAGTTTCCTTCGCAAGTTCGCAAAATTCCTTCGCTAAGTTAGCAAGTTTCCTTGAGCCGTCCCCTTCATCAGCATGCGCAGATGTAATGCGCAGTAGGTTTATCAATGGTGCTCACAGTGACCGATCTATCGTAAGTTTTCACCAAGTATTTTCAATTAACTCCCTCAAGTTAAGATCTTCGATTCACTAGATCTGAAGCTGATCCTATGAAGATAGATAATGGGCACATGAAAATCCAGTCGATCGCACATTAGGGGGGTAATGATGATAAATTAGGTATGAAAACAAATCTACTTTCGGTTTCATTTTATAATTACAAGATTCTACCGTATTCAATTTAAATGATGCCCAGTATTGTGGTCGGACTTATATTGCCGTTTTAGACTTTGGAATGATTGCTAAAATGTTGAATTTCAACATGAAACGCTTTGACCCCAATTTGTGTAACTCCACACAGGGAGAAACTCCTCTCCCACTCCATTCACACCCATGACTCGCTGGACCAGATAATCAAATGATTAATAGTGACATTTTTCTTGCAATTGCCTAATTAATTAATTGTTAGTTGTTAATGTGCTATAAGAGTACAATAAAACGTATGCACAAAATCAAAAAATAGATTTTGTATGTGGTTTCTACATTTTGTATGCATTTTTACTCAAGAAAAACACTTTTATAGCTTTGACTCAACTTTTTTTCTTGTGACTCACTTTTTTGAAACTACCTGAGTCATGATGACTCACAAGAATATATGCCTACCGCCACCGCTGACATGTTCCCAGCCAAATTGTTTTATGGGGTGAGGTATTCATCTGAAATTTTCAGAGATGTTACCTATGAAAGTTTACAAATGATTATTTTTGGGGCATTCTGAGTAAATGTAAAGTGGCCATTTTAGATTTTCCATCCTAAAATCCTGTCAGTCAAGTCTTGACTATGTCTACAGGTTTCTAGCCAAACCATTTGAGGGATTCACCTGAAATTTTTAATTTTCCATCCTGAAATCTTGTCCATCAAGGCTTGTCAACATATCTATGGGTTCCATTTTCGGGATTCATCTGACATTTTCAGCAACACTGGTTAGTTTTTGGGCAGTCTGGGTATACATGTTATGGTATGTTAGGGTGGACATTTTGGATTTTCCATCCTGAAAACTGTCTATTCTATTCAAGGGTACGATTCTGTTCACTCTGTGTCTTGTTTGCTCACATGGTGAGCTGTTGCAATCACTCACTTGTCCGTCTGTCATCAAGCCAGTTTTTAAACCCCTGTCAATAGGATTCCCGTTTTAAGTTATTTTTGTTCAGCATCAATATAGAAAACCCCCCTATGACTCCTGGTTCAAAAGCTCGCCTATTTTCAAAATGGTCACCATTTTTGTCTCAGGAAATTCACTTTTGGACCATTTTTGCTTTAAAACCTGTGTCGATAGGAGTCCAATTCTAAGTTATTTTTGTTCAACATCAATACAGAAAACTCCCACATGACTCCTGGTTCAAAAGCTCGCCTATTTTCAAAACAAGACCATTTCTATTTAAAGTAAAATCATATATGTGTAAATAAAGCTGAAATAACAATCCCTAATCCCTTATTTTTGCAGCTTCACGTACATACAGACTTCAACTCTTTATATGAATCAGAGGGGATTTCTGTGGAGGTGTTACCAGTGGACTTTGGAGGATGTCTCTCGCAATACTCTAACTCCGTTTGGGCTGAGCAATTACTAAATTCAGAGCAATATTTTGAGAAACTATCCGAGTATTCCCTTGAGGGAGATACCTCAACTTTAACAGGATTAGAGAGTGTGGATCTAGACACAACTGACCCAATTGACGCTTGTATACCAGGAGTATATAGGAAAGCTAGCAGTGTTGATTAAAACGCACAATGAAATATGAAAACTTTCACATTTCAATGGATTGACAGAGATATTTATGTCTATTTAAATTGAACAATTTCTAAATACAAGTACACTACATACTATGCCTAAAATCACATCGGCATGCTCCCATCGACGCGTCGATAGGCGCGTAGTCGGCAGGCCGATCGGCACGTCGATAGGCACAGGTCGGCACGCCGATGGGCATCGCCGGGGGCATCGCCATCGGCATAGTAAAGTTACTGTCTACTAAGTTCCAAACTGTTGTATTACAGAAGTACATAGGACATGTAGGAAAGCCAACAGTGTCAATTAAAACTGAATTCCAGACTGTGGGATTCCAGCTTTGTTTTACAAGTGTGTCTACATACAGGTACAGTAGTGCACTAGTCATGTACAGAAATGAAATTGAATGCCTTCATATCAATACTGCCAACAATCTCTGCAATTAAAAATTCAAGTTTAAGAATAATGTTGTATGTGTACATATAAAATCTCTATGTAGTTTTGATCGACATTTAATTACATACTGTAGTGAGAATATAGATAGTAGATTACAATGAGAGGAGGCTGAAGTATGGTCCATTGGGGACTACGAGCACTGTCCGGATTTTTTCTGAGTGAATCGGCCCACATAATCGACCAAAGTGAAAAAAGTTGATTTTTCCACATTTCGTTTGGTTATTATTTTTCCTACCGTCTGAGAGTATGGATTATTTTTATGAGAATATGTATTTGTAACTTACACATTTTAGAACGGGCGAAGATTCAGCAAATAACCATTCATTGTGTGTATTTAAAAAAGATCAGATTTGTGCAGCGACATCAGCTGTACGGTGACGCTTAATGGAAGGTTAATGGAAATGTATGATATGGTAAGGATCATGAAACCAAAAACTCCGTATATTTGTTGCTATGTTATTGATGTTTTTAAACAAGTGATGTCACAACTAAATCTCATCTTGCACGTGTGACTTTTTAGGATGAAAGATGCAATATCTTGCATGGGGTGAAGATGGCTCTAGGCTATAGTGGAATGGGTGATAGGTGTTTTTCGTGCGATGTAGTCTAAAAATTTTAATTGTTATAATCATTTAGGCCACCTAAAGCTCCATCCATTCATGAATTTTCAGTTTCCAATTTTTCAGCGTTAAGCGGCTGTTCCATTTTACCCCCCCCCCCCCTGAAAAACCAATAGAGGGGTATGTGTACAAATGCAGCCATTTCACCATTATACTTCGAGCAATTCTATTGAAAGTTCATGGGAACATACATTGTATAATAGACATGTATAATGCAAAATATGAGTGTGAAAGCTCTACTTGTTGCCATGGTAACCACTCGTTGAATTATAAAAATGACTGAAAAAGGGCGATTTTCATACATTAGGATTGCAGTAAACTGAACTTATCTTGTTGTAAGAAATTGATTGATCAGTCTAAATATGCTTAAAAACTTCACAGATGTGTATGGTACAAATCTAGGGGAAAAGTAAATTTTTGGGATGTTTCTTATATTTTACATGATTTTTTTAATACTCATACCCTCATTCAAGACGAGAAAGTGATTATTTCTCCAATGTCTATTAAAATGTCAAAATGAGTTTCTTATAGTATACTATGTAGGCTATCAGAAATATTTCACTGTATAATTAATAGGAAAACTCAATCTACAGTGAGGAGCTAAGATACACTTCAGAAAAAATTTTGTAACTGTTGCTATGGTAACCACATATTAAATGGAGAATGTCACAAAACAGTATGAGAGTACAAATTTACCTCCATTAGCATTGTTTTGAAGTTTAACATGTTTATAGTCATTTTTCTTTTCTAGCTGTCTAGAACATCTCCACCCTCAACACTTCCCAAGAAGTCTGCATCTTCAAGTACAATAGGCTCAGCAACCTCATCAAGCAGATCTACAAGGTCTTTCGGTAAGACGGGTAAACTAGACCATTGTGGCTCAATGTTACCATTGGTATCAAGTTGCCAGCCATGCAACGTGGCATTTGGGAGTTCACTGACAGCAATGTGTGATTGTTTCCAGATATAGCTTTGATAGTTACTCCTTTTCAACTTTTGAATTATAGAGTCTCTACAGGGGGGTAACAGTGACAAGTCAGTTCCATCGTAAGTCAAAGCATCTCCTGATTTCTTGGGGGAATATCTTTGTTGAAATAGTTCATAGCGAAGTTTGTTGATGTTCCTTAGCTTGGTTTTTCTAGAGTACATTTTGCAAACATAGTCCTCAGCAGTAGATTCCATTTGGTTGGTAACCTCAACAGTATTTCCCATTGTAGTAAACAGTTTCAGGAAACGATTCCTTTCATCTGGAGGACCTCTGGTAAGAATTTTGAGTGGCTTTATCTTGCCTCTGCGAATGAATGCACTAGTGCTATCGCACCCCGTGAAAGCATGGAAGCTGGGCAGTGCTTCACAAAGTTGCTGGCCCAGGCGGGAGGCTATTGCTTGGATGTCAAGGAGGCGACGCCCATCTCCTTTTCCAGTGTCAAAATATATCTGTACATCGACCCTGTCAGCATACCTTAGGAGTATTAGAAAGACATCGGTATCAAGGGATCGAACAATTACTGGTTTTCCATGTCTTGCAGCGAACAGCATGTGAAGAATTATCTTTGTATCTGCTTCTTCTTGGTTAGATGCTAGGTCATTTACTGGGGAAGTATAAACCTTTTCACCATCACTTGTGAGTAGAATTGTATTCTCTTGGTCTGAGAAGTAGATGTTTCTTCCCTTCAGATCACTGGCATACTTCTTGGTTTGCCATTCACGTAACAGGAACTTGATAAGTTCCTCTTTATTTTTGCCACTTGTTAGGAAGTTATTCCATGATTTTGATGGGGTTTTAGTGTGGGCTCCCTTCAGGATAATTGGATCTGACTGCCCCCTTTTGTTTCTCTCAAGATCTTTAATGGAGTTTTCATGGTAGGAATCGGTTACAAAATGTACGTTCTTGGATTTTGGTAAGTGTGTGAATATGTCTCTTGCAACTTTACCAAATGTTGGTGCTATTTTTTCCATTTGATAGAAACTCATATTTCCATCCAAGATAGTTATTGATTCAGATGGGGGAGATGGAATACTGTCATTCCCTTGCAGCTCATGAATGAGTGTTGACTTTGGTGTTTTTTCTAGAGAGCCATCAGGTAGGGCAAGAGGCCAAGGAACAGGACCCATGCAATATCCCATGAGCCTCTCAAGACTAATCTCACTGTTTTGAGATACATTAAGTAGTTGGCCAAATAGGTTTCTTGTGGCGCTGATTTCAACAACCTTATTTTTTGAAGTTGTCATCTTCTTGGTCACAGCAGAATTTGCAAATGTTGCGACTTTCATCTTTTTTATGCTATCGTGAAACTTAAGTTCTGAGTTTTGATCTCTCAGTCTATCAATGAATTGTTCACTTGCTTGGTAACCTTTCTGTAATGCATCAGTCAGCCCTTGAACTTCTGCTGGGGCTGGCAAACCAGATGATACACAGTGAAGAGCAGGCTCATTGATGTCAAATGGGTTGATGAAGTTTTTGAATGCCTGCATTACTGACTTTACACCAGCTTCAGATGTTGTTACTTGGGCTAATGAGTTGTCTCTATGGAGGATATCGTCTGAGTCTCTCATTCCAGCTATATCAAGGGCAGCCTCTGTATACAGTCCTCTCTGTGTTCGTGTAACGCACCAGCGCTGATATGCACCCTTGTTCCTACTGAAACCAACAATACCACCTTTAGATTTTGCATTGCAATTGATAGTTTGTTCTATGGTAATGTCCACAGGATTTCGTGAGCATGATACATCTGATCTTGAAACAGAGAATCCATTGTTTGAGATGAGCTCTGTTGCACCAGGATGTGTCTTATCCAGGTTGAGAAGGGTGAGAAATTGGTAACAGTGAAATCTGGCATAATTTTGATGGTCCATGGCAAAGAATGCACTATTCATGGCTGAGTGTGCTCCAATGTGGAGGTTGAGATCATTTTCCTTTGTGGCACGGATATACTGAAGTGCAGTGCCAACCATATCACTGTACTGGACCCAAAACTGTGGAGTTTTACCCATTTTCCCTTGTCTGATGTCCATTTTGAACTGGAAGAATTTTTGACAGAATTCACTAACATCTTTATCAGAGAGGGATTGCTGCAGAAGCTCTTCATTTAGGTTTTCAGCTAGATCTTGAAGTTTCTTCTTTGCAGCTGGATTTAGTTGGTGTTCCTGCTGGAATTTCTCCAACAACATACGTTCCAGTGCTTCATACATTATCTTGTGAACTCTCAGGCTTCTGTTGTAATTTTTTCCATTAAGGACTGCATCTAATGATCCACTAGCACAAATTTCTGATTCAAGCAGTATCTCTTCAAAACCAGAGCCCCTCACAAATTTTCCAATGGTGCAGAAATAAGAACACAGCGAATGGAAAACACCTAACATTACTATCACAGTACAGTATTTTTGAAATTGCCATACAATGTTCAGGGCCTTTTTGGCTGCTGCCAGATCAAATGTTACTAATGTGTAATGTTGGCCCACCTCAGCTGTTCCTTGCATAGCAATATTCAGGCACTCTTGAACTGTAGCATTCTCAGTTATTGGGTGGTTTATTGGAGGAAGATAGTCTATAACAGACTGAACTGGTACATTAGTTGAGCCCTTGCCTGTTAGTGACACCCAACCTGCCCAGCTAGGGACACTCTGATTTTCTGACTGTTGATGACGACACAAAATCCACATCAGATCACTTCTAGAAGCATTAGCTAATGCCACTTTCCTCTGAGATTGTGAAGACATCAAACCCTTTAGGTGGTTCTGCTTTGTTAACTGCATAACATGGTGGTAATATGTCCTCTGTCAGTTTAACTGATCTCCTTGCATTAGGGTAGCGTTCCTTAGTTGGTTCAAGTGATGGAGGCTGAGCACTAGAATCAACAATTTCATCAACATGTTCATCTGACTGAGGTAGAAGGATTGGCACACCACCTTGAGATTCTGAAGAAATATCACCACCATCATCATCCATTGGCTCCAGCTGACCTTGACTTTCACTAGACTCTGTATGTGCGTCAACCTCCATAGCTGTGTCTTGATGACAGTGAGGATTCACAGATTTCTGTTCTTGAATGACAATGCCATGGGTAGAATGTGTAGTTCCTGAACCACTGGGAGTCTGCTCATTGAGATCAAAATTATCGAAGCAATACATCAGAACTTGGTTTGACAAAATGGATATTGATGGTGGTAAGGATGACACTTGCTGTTTAATCTCTTCACATATTGCAGTCTCTATTTCTAGGACCTCTGTGTAACTGGTGCAGTACCCATGATGATTCAGTAGTGTGATCAACTCTGCACTCCCTGTAAGATGATGAATAGCTATCGCAAGCAAGTAATGTTTTGGCATTTTGAATGATCCATTTGTTGCACCATAGCAAATGTCTTGCCCTATGGTATGAGTCAAGCGTTTATATTTTGTATTGTTCATTTTTGTGTCATTGCCTGATAGCAGAAGTATAAGAAAATATTGCAACTCTGGTG